AAAAAAAAAAAAAAAGATTGCTAACTTATAGAACCATCATCCGTAAAATTTCCCTATGGAGTAACTATCCCACTCTTCAGTAATGCCACACACCAGGAGTGGCAAAGCCATGATGGATGGATCATTCGCCACATCAAACTATTCTCTGGACAATGCCACTTTGTTCAGTCTACTGTTCTTAGTGTTCTTCATGGTTCCTGAGAACGTCAATGTCCATAATTAATGCTTAACACCAGAGTGCTGAAGTACACAGAACACTGAACAAGCACAGGAAAGAGAAGGTTCCCAGATGGAAGAGTTTATACTAAAGTTAGATAAAAGGCAACCTTACAAAGGCTAATTAATCTATGGAATTTAGGGAGGCTTACAGATGGAACACCATTTAATAAATTTCAAACAAGGATTAGGAATTTCTATAAACAATAAAAGCACCTGCATATTACAAAGCATTTAAGTTTCAAAGGCTGTCAGTGCACATGCCTCATGCAAAAAAAAATGAAAACCACCTGTGGCCATCCATTTCTTCCCATGGAAAAAGATACTATAGTTCTGAAAATAAATATTCAATACTACCAATAAACACAAAGGATAGAGAATAAAAATAAATGAAACCCACAGGAATCACCAAACACAAGAGTTTCAGCTTTACAGCTCAGCAAGCTATCTTCAGCTATCTGAATATATAATATTTAAGTTATTCTGTATTTCCTAGACAAAAAAAAATTATGATTTTCAGACTACACACACACACACACACACACCCATGGTGCTTGTTATTTTGGTGGGGGGGTATATTTTACAAGAAAAAAAAAATTAGACTGTCATTACTGCTTTGTAAACTGATTTTTGCATACAATGTGTTATGATCATCTTTGACATGCAATGAGAATGTCAGCATAGTATTTCAATTATTTTGATGTTCTATATTTAATCTCCTCTTGCTGAAATTATTATAGTTTTAAAGATTCTTTAAAATAAGCCTCATCATTTGATCCACTGTTAGAGGGGAGAAGTGCCACAGCTAGAACTCAGGTCAGCTGACTCTAAGCCCAACACACACAACCCCAGTACACAACAGCACACACTGTTTTTTTTTTTTTTTAAAGATTTTATTTATTTATTTGAGACCGAGAGAATGAGAGAGACAGAGAGCACATGAGAGGGGGGAGGGTCAGAGGGAGAAGCAGACTCCCCACCGAGCAGGGAGCCCGATGCGGGACTCGATCCCGGGACTCCAGGACCATGACCTGAGCCGAAGGCAGTCGCTTAACCAACTGAGCCACCCAGGTGCCCGCACACACTGTTTTTAATACCAAATAGAAGTCCTGGATCCCAGCATGAACTCTAACCTCAGTGAACTCTGTGCTTACTTTCATTATGCACTTGGTCAAAAGGAAGGCTTATGGAAACGCTTGTACCTAGAAGCGTAATCTCCTCTAGCAGTCTGAAAACATAAAATCAATAGTCTGGCTCATTAATCAATTGACATTTCTCTCTTATGGGCATATCAGATGATTTAACATGACTAAAATGAGTGAACAGCCGGTCAGTCCCTGCTTCTGATCATCCTGCCTTCAGACAACTCTCCCTTCAAGCATTGTGCCTTGGAAAAAGAAAAAAGAAAAACTTCACAGCTGTAAAATATTCTCTCCCTTCAGTGCCATTATACTGTAATATGGTGTTGCATTATTAAACATTTGTTTGACTGTAAAAAAGACTTGTGTAAAAAGACAACTTTCACAAATGAATAAGTACTTTTTGAAGGCTCAACCAATCTGAGTCAAAATTCCATGTGTGCTTGCATTTTGTTTTTTACTTTTAAAAGTTATCAATCAATAAACACTGTATTATGTTCTTCTTATAAATAAAATAGACTATTTAGACCCCTGATTCTGTGATGTTGCTAGGAAATGAGCTTCAAAGTCCTATATGACTATAAATCAAAGATACTAAAATAGGATATTTTAATGCTAAGAAATACATTCCAACATCTCACATGAACTCAAACCAGATCAAGTACTGATACCTAATCAGTAGGGGGAGTGGGAGAGGGAGAAGCAGGCCTCCCGCTGAGCAGGGAGCCCAATGTGGGGCTCGATCACTGAATCACTGGTTTACTACATATCATTCTCAGTTCTAAGTCTTATTTCACTGAATCTCTAAATTAATATACAAACTGTTATTAACTTCTTCGTATGAGACAAACCAATTTTTCCATTACATACAAAAAGAAGCTGTGTCTATTTGAAATTGATTTAAAAGCCAAAGAAGTAAATTCTCTTACACATTTCCAATTTACACAACATATATTATTGCATATCATAGTAAATATATTTACAAACACACTCTAAAAAATGTGTACAGTTAAAATCATTAGCAAATTTAATGTGTGGCAATCTTATTTCAAATATTCAAATAAATTATTTTAGTTTGATTTCTACTATGAATCTTAAGAATACTCCTTTTTGGGGGGCACTGGGCTGACTCAGTCAGTGGAG